AACTCAACCAAAAGCTTAAGCTGATGGTTGAGGCCCAGGAATATGTTATATACTATATCACTCCCCCTCACATGAAAGGCCCTTTGGGCTTGAAATATGGATGCAGCACATGCCCTCTCATACCCGGCGCAAATTAATTCCACTTTAAAGGAGGGGTGGATGAGATTCGAACCCGTGACCTCTATGTCACATTGACTCTGATACCATATTAGAGGACCATCTCAACCAAAAGCTTAAACTTATAGTTGAGGCCTAGGAATATGTTTTATACTCTATCAACTAGCTATCATATACGGGTTTATATTTTAGTTTTTAAGAAATTAGAAACCGAAAACAAAAAAAATGATAATGAAGAAACGCTTATCATTTAACTTTTTGATATTCGATACTTTTAATCCTCACCATCCGTGTCCATGATAAGTAGATTGTATTCTTTTTTTTTTTTCTTTTTTTTTCTTTTTTTTTTTTTTTTGAAAGTAAGTAGATTGTATTCTAAAACAATATAATGAATTTTTCTTATGCTGATCCGATCCCTTTCTATTGATAGAAAATTCCAATTGGCTTTATTAAAAGATTTATACACCATTACACAAGCAAAGCTTCTACTTTGCTGATTTTCTGAAATATTTTATTTTTCTAGCAAGTGTTTATATTATTTATTGTGCATGGTCTTAAATTATCATGTGATATTCTAAGATCCATACAAATAAAAGTGATTTATGCTCGACTACATTCATAATTATATATTAAACTAACACTTGAACAAGGTCTTAGATAGTTTTATATTAATCAAACCATGCTTTATAAACTAATCAATTAATTAATTATACAGTTTTAAATTAATTAATCCATGCTTTAAAAACTAATCAACTAGTCAATGCTTATAAAAATAAAGAAAGAAGTCTCTAGTGGAGGAAAGTCCGAAAGTATAAAGCGTTACATTCATGCAAATGCAACTATGCAACATTTAATTCACCTGAATATATTCTCTAAGATTTAATTACGTGCATACTGGTCAAACAAATGCGAGTAAACACACTAGTCTAAGGTCTAACCTGCGGCTTGCAAATTATATAATAAATTAATTATAGCCGACTAGTCAAAGAAATAAAATATTGGAAAAAGTTAGGGCAAACTAATAAAGAGGAAATATTTTTTAATTAATGTTTATTAATTTTATTTTTTTTTATTTTTTTTTTTGAGAAAATGTTTATTAATTTGTCGCCTATTAGGAAAAGTTATAATCACAGATAACTCAAATTTAATCAAATGTTAAAAGTAGTGTATCTTGAGACCAATTAAGACTACAGTAAGTGTAATCTACCTCTTCTAGAATCAATTGTCAAAGTTTTAAAGTACAATTTGATCGATCATCAATGTAGAAGCAAAAGTGTAAATAACAGATGGAAAGACCGAGTCAACAATAGAACAAGTTAATACGAAGTATTATTTAGAAAAAGACACATTACCTCCAAATCAAATTTATATAACCAATTATTTGTAAATTATTGTTAACATTATTATATAGACCTTTGAATCATTGGTATTTACATGAGATATAATGTTGGCTTAATATCATAGAAAAAAAAGTGATTCAAGTACGAGTAAAACATACACCTATACTTAGTACGTGTTTTGTAGTAGTATGTAGGTTGATATGTCAAAATAAAGTTAAAATAAATACTTCTTCCGTTTTAAACGTACTAACAACAATAAGATACCAAATCTACAAATTGTACAATAAAAGTGGAGAATGACTATGTAGTACTCCGTAGTTTGTAGTGTAGTTAGAATATAAACGTCATAGTTCATGTGATACAAGAAATGAGATCGGATAAGAAGCAAATGATGATGGTGATATGAGAAGACATGAATATTTCATACAAGTAATAGTTTAGGTTGCTGCTTATGTATGAACAAAGGAAAGTAGTTCAAAGATAGAGATCAATACAAGAAATTGTGTTGACACGTAATAATAAGACTAGTGTACGTACTCACGTGAATCTCTCGATAAAAGTCCACTTCCAATGCTCTCTACTCAGTCTATGATGCAGGAACACTTAGGTCGGTCCACGTGCCTCTTTGCTCTAGAATCTTATTACATCAATTACCAGTGACTAACCACATCAACAATAGTAATAGTAATTATTTTTTTTAAAGAAGTTCTAACGTATATTAAATTTTATTAAATAAAGTCATGCGCCATCTATGATTGACAATTAACGATAATGAAAACGAATTTAATAAAATCAAATCAGACTTAATCGGGGAAGGATAAGAATCCAAATACATAAATATAATAATTCAGCACATTCTCAATTCGTTGTCTCATACAACTTTTTGATTGGATCCGTCGCACTTCGCAATTTTGTGAGAAAGTTAATTCTAGTGCACAACCAAAGACCAAATTAACTATAAATAAAACCTTGTCTTTCAAAGAAGATCGAAAAAACCCTGTCTTTCGAAGAAGATAGACCCTTTCTTTCGAGGGAGACATTATTATTGTAACCTAAGGAACAAAAAGCTTAAAAGAAAATAAAGATTGAGGCTTTCCACTGGTGAAATCCGATGAAAGCCCCTATAAAATTGACAATGGAGGCTAAAGTTTAGGAGAGAGGAGGCTAGGGTTTAAAAGTTATTGACAACATGGTAACAATAGTACTTCTTTGTTATCATAACTCATAAATAGGAATTTATTTATTGTTTATTTTTAACTTCCCTTGCTTGTATTACAAATGAGTAATTGGACGCCCTATTTGGTAATTAGCGATATAACTGGTAATTAAGAATTGATGCATTAATTGATTTTACTAGTTGGTTGAATTAGATGTTAATTGAGAATATGAATGGACAAACAAGGACACAAGGTCATTGATATTTTGGTGGGTAGGGATGTAAAATACACTGTGACTTTGATAAGGCTCCGTTTTTCAGCTATTTTACAAAACAATGTATTCGACTTATGTTAATTGGCCTACTCAGTTAGGCCCATTTACTTACTCTCCTTTCTGAACTTTGAATTTCCAAATTTTGCAACTGATTTTGATCTACAAAGTGTACGTGGGCCGTACCTAGGTTTCCATGACTCAAAGTCAGTTGGACAAACCAAGACAAGGGCCCAACACTTCCCTTTACGATAAATAAAAACGCATTTGTGCTCAAGATTAGCCTCACATGAAGCATGTAAACATTATTTCCACATGTAAGGAACAAACATACATCAATGCATGCAAATCATAAAACGATTACAAGAACTATGTAATACACAACGAATTGAACTAGTGATAAAGAAAAATATACATGTTTAATGAAAAGAAAATTACACTTTCTATATATATATATATATATATATATATATATATATATATATATATATATAGTATTTAATTATGAATTGTGTGTAAAGTGAAGGGATAATATTATATAATGATCGACTTAATCATTGTTATCCTCAGCTATTAGCAATCTTATCATGTTAAATTTCGAAACAATATGAAATGGGTCTGAGCAATCCGAACAAGAAGGAGGAGAGTTTGGTCCACAAACAAGACTTAAGAACTTCTATACTAAAATCAATTGGTAATAATAGGAGTTAACGTGGAACCACATCTCCTCTTTCTCCAATGTGGGACACTCACAAGTGGGCTACAATGGGTTTCAACACCAATACTATGTGCCTAGGTATAATATGTCGATGTTTAATGTTGGTTTCATGTACCGACGGTTGACTAGACGTACAACTTAATGAGACTTGTCTTATTGATAACAAATTTTTTTAAGTAGTAGGATTTATTTTTTATACTTCCTTTTATTTTCAATTTTTTAATTTTTTGGGAGGGGGGTAATGTTGATAAAGAGTTTTTCTATGTGCCACTTTGGGTGCAAGTGTCATGATGTATCCAAATTGCCAACATGGGCTCTACCTTAATTTCACGTGACCTTGGGAGACTACTTGAAGTTGAACCCCCACTCTTGGAGCTTTTGATATTTGCATGACATGGATATATTGATGTTATGATGAGGCCCATGATATTTAGCAGGGAAAATCAATCTTATTTATGTTGCTGTCATTCTTCTATTAAAAAGCAATATTCATTTTAAGAGGAATTACACTTTGACTTTGAAATTTGCTTTCATTTTAGGTCTTTTAACAAGTAATGTCTTTATATATATAATCAACAATTAGTCCTTTTTACTATTTTTGTTTCTAATTGAAACCTCATTCTTTCCTTAGCTTTTTGTGTTACACGGTAAGTTAAGGTAAGGTCAAGTTTCTTAGTTTTACATTAACGCTAGTTAAACAATTTTACCTTCTAACGATTACTTATAAAGCAAGGGGAAAAAATGTTTGTGTGAACGTAACACAAGCAAACAATATCCCATTTTCGTTCCTTTTCCACTACATCAAAAGAAGCATGAGATTCCTAGCTAATAAGTAGATTGTCTAAGTAGCTAGCTTAGTCAATAAGGTGATTGATGAAATCTCCCTAGCTTTTGCATGATTATTAGCATATATTCTTATAATTAACTAATCTATTATTCGTCGACTGCCTTATCTCAAAAATACTTCGTATAAGGTTCTTGATCTCGTTTACGCCATTATCCTATATTAAACTTAAAACGATCTTACCATAAACAAAGGCAAATCCTACATGCAACAAGCAATATGGCATGCATGCAATCAAATTGCCATATGTAAATATAGGTGGCCTGGACATAAAACATTTATGAGGATAAGTTAGAGCTTGTCTCTATATTTTTATGTCTATATATGAATAAAATCGGTATGGCTTGACAAGTATATATTAGTAACATTATTATATATATTTCATGAAAATAAAATAAGATATGATAATATATAAGAAGTACATACATACTACCAAATTGCAAATTAATGTCATTAATATTCTAGAAGGCAGTGCCAAATTTTGCAACTTTCTCTCTATAAATTATCACTCCTAAAAATTTCAGCAAATTATCACTTGCATGTGCAATTTAGCCCTTCACATTTTCGTGATCTCCCTAGTTTTTGTTTAGCATGTCATGCAAGTGAACAACCAGTTTTAGCTTCCATTTTCTTTTCCTTTTTTAACATTTTCCCTTTATTTTGGATTTTGGTACGTGTTCAACTTACATTTAGATACTTGTGATAAGTCAAATTATATATTGGAGAGCCCAAAAATTAAAAAAACCTATTTACATTCAAACTATAGATATATAACTAGCTCTTTTCTTTCTTTTAATACCATTATTCCTACACAAATTTATTGATTAATCTCCTTCTTGGTCAAAATTTTTTGTTTATCCAATTTTAATCATGATTTCACCTAGTGCAATTCGTTTTGCGGCCGGAATTATAGGTAATTATAATGATTAATCTACCTAGGCCTTGTTAATTTTACTTCTATAAACTAATTTACATTGTAATCTTTTTTCAGGGAATATAACAGCTTTGTTCTTGTTCTTGTCTCCGTTGTAAGTTTCTATCAATGATAGATTTTTTTGTATTAATGCAATTGTGCATATAAATCATATACGGAGCATAAACTAAAATGTGCGTGGATAGCCGGGGTAGCAAACATGTTAGTAGCTCAATATCGTAATACTTCATGCTTGTCAGTTTGAAATACCAATGTAATAATAGTTAATTTCTAGGATTATATATGAAGTAGTATTATTACGCAATTGAGGGCTTCGTTATCTTTGGTATGAAGAAAGTCATACATAGCAAAAATGTAAATTGGATTTAATTCTTAAGTGTCACGACCTTTAAAATCTTAATCAGCTAATAAACTAAGGTAGCTGACATCCACATACATATAAAAAGTATCGTAAATTGTTATGCTTAAACTTGTAGGAGATTTTCATTTGAAATTGCTTCCCTAATTTCAGGCCAACATTCATCGGAATACACAAGAAGAAGACGGTGGGACAATACTCATCAGTGCCATACTTAGCCACATTTGTGAATTGCATGCTTTGGGTGGTGTATGGTCTACCATTTATTCACCCAAATAGCATTTTGGTGGTGACAATTAATGGGGCTGGCTTTTTTATTGAGCTAATCTACTTGATACTCTTTGTGATTTACTCTGACAAGAAAAATAAGCTTAAGATTGTGTTAATTGCAATTGTTGAGATTATAATTGTGGGAATTATGACTGCCTTGGTCCTCGGTTTAACTCATACTACCAAGCGTAGGTCTTCAATTGTTGGTATGATTGCCATCGTTTGCAACATCATGATGTACGCTTCTCCTTTGTCGGTTATGGTAATTATTACTCCTTAATTAATACTCCGTAACTAAAGTATATATTAGTATAACTTGTACTTCGTACAAAATACACCTGTTTTATACAAGTTTTTTGTGCGATTTATAGAAATTGGTTAAGTCTCATTTTGATACGTGTTAGAGATTTTCTAATTTATGTTTATTTGTACAGAAATTGGTGATAACGACGAAAAGTGTGGAGTACATGCCATTTTCTCTATCAATTGCTTCATTTACTAATGGCATTGCATGGACCGTCTATGCTTTGTTTCCCTTGGACCCTTACATTGCCGTAAGTACCTTCTCTCTATATATATCTCGCATGCATCAACGCATGGAAAATTTAATTACGAGGAGTAGATATAATTAAGAGCAATTACTTGGTATAACGCCTAATTTAGGCTAGTGAAATATTCTGTGATAAAATCAAGCATGAAAACTTTGCCATAAGAGTTCATGAATACAATGCGATTATGTCTCTTTTTAAACCCCTAATGTTATGAGATACCCCATTAACTTGTCAAGGGTTGCTTGGTACTTATCTCGTACTCCGTATATATGTTATATTGTACTCGTATAGTATATGTACTTTTTTTTTTTTTTTGAGGAAACGTACTAATTTGTAATAGTATAAAAAGTGAACTTTCATTTTTAAACATGTAAGAGAGAATTTTATCAATTAATATGTTTGGCTTTCAATTTTGTTTTAAAGCTACGTGTACACAATTTTCCCAAAAAAAAAATAAAATAGAGACAAAACAAAAATCAATCAAAAATTGTTGCTTGAAACCATTTTTATACTATACATCAATACATGTACATCACAGAACACTCTGCCAGTCTGCAATATAATTGTCCGCCATGAATACAACAACATTGATCTTAACACTGTAAAGATTACAAGATATGCTAAGCATTTAATTTATTATTATTATTATTATTATTTTTAAACAAGCATTTAATTAGGCCCTGTTCTCTTCACCTTAAAAAAATAATATTAAGTAAAAATAATTTCAGTTCAGTAAAAATAAGTTCAGTTCAGTAAAATTAATTTCAGTTCAGTAAAAATAATTTCAGTTCAGTAATAAGTTCAGTTCAGTTCAGTAAAATTCTTAAAGAAGAATTATAATAGAAAATCAGTAAAAATAATTTCAGTTCAGTAAATTAAAAATAATTTAAGTTCAGTAAAAATAATTTCAGTTCAGTAAAATTAAGTTCAGTTCAGTAAAATTAAGTTCAATTCAGTAAAAATAATTTCAGTTCAGTAAAAATAATTTCAGTTCAGCAAAATTAAGGTGAATCAAACAGGGCCTTAGTCTATGCTGACAATAACAACCGCAAGTTTGCAGAAACATTCATATAGAATTTAACAAATGTCCAATATATAAACCAATATATAGTTTTTTTTTTCCCTACTACGAGTATAAAATTAACAAATAAAACCAATTATGAAGGCAAATATACTAACCATCGGCTTAAATTTTATTGATAAGGTCTTATACATTATTACAATGTCTACATAATTCTTGTAATCATTGTAAAATTATCGGGAAAAAAATTAGTATTACAGATATACTCCGTATTATTTAATTTTTAGTACGAGTATTAGTTTTGAATTTTTAATAAAGGGTCATTGCTTCCCAACACAGGCACCAAATGGACTGGGTACAATATTTGCATTGGTTCAACTGATATTGTATGCAACATACTACAAGTCCACGAAAGAGCAGATAGCAGCAAGGAAATTCAAAAGTACAGTGGGCTTAACTGAAGTTATATACAACGAAGACTCTGCAAAGGCGGCCCAATTACCCCATAATGGTCGGGCCCAAAAACCATAAAAGTCCAATCCCATTGTGGGTTAATGGAGCTAGGATGGTGCACAAGCTGGACCACCTGATCAACCATAATTTTTTTTTTTTTTTAAGTATGAAAAACCATGCAATTTTTTGCCAGTAATTGGACCCATCTTAATAATTAAGTATGGGACTTTTTTTCTTTTGAATAATATAGTAGCCATGTATGTTGTGTTGCATCCATATAATAAAATGTCTTATTCAAATTTTATTGTCAATGTTATATGACTTCAATCAATAATTTAATTTAGTTCAAGAATTATGAATCTTATTTTTCTAAATTTTAAAAATTTAAAATAAAATTTTAAAAAAAAAACACTACCATTTATTGGGATGATACCTTATAATTAGTTGAGCTAAGATAATATATAATGTAAATCTAGTTACTCAAGTGATATGAAATGAAGGTCAAGGGATAATCAATTCAAATAAGATGATACGAGATCAGATGAGTGAAATGTGGATAAGACAATTGTCCCTTATTTTTCTTGAACTAATAATCTTATTTAAATTTAAGAAGGGAAAAAAAACCACTAATATGTGAACTTATTTAACAAAAACAATTTAGATATTATTAGTAATGGAGTTTATTTATCCATAAATTGAACTTGGTCTATGTCTACCCTTATTAATCCCTCATAACTTATTTTTCTCAAATAAGCTTATCATTGAATGAACTTATATATCTCAAAAATAATTGAAAACAAAGTGAGCATAATAATTTGACCATCTATGAACTTATCTAAACCTATTTAGAGAATTAGAGTGTAATCTATTCACCTGATAATTACTTATCTTAACTACTTTAATCCAAGTTTTCTTTTCCTAGCTAAAAGAAGTGAAAAATTATATTAAAATCAATTTATAAAAATAAAAAAAGCGAAGGCTAATGAGTTTGCTCAAGTTCAACTTACGAATAAAAGAAGTTTAAATATTTTTAGGTTTAAGGTTATATAAGTGGAAATGTGAAATTCACGTGAATTTAATGCACTTTTAGTTTTAACAACTTTAAAGTCCAATGGTGCATAAAAAGGACTTGCTTGTGGTTGGGTGTAGCCCAAATTGTAATAGTCCAGGCCATTATTTTGATGGATTATTTGTTCATGTTCTAGAAGCTTGTGGTTGGTATTGCTCCTCATTTCTCTATATTTTCTTACTATTATATTGTATCATACAAACCACTAAAATGATAATAATCTAGAAGTTTCTATATACATGTAGCAAGGTTGGTATTTTCTTACTAACTTGTATCATACAAACCACTAAGATGATTTAGAAAATTCCTGAACATAGGAAGCAACTAGAATGCATGGTTCGTGAACATTCTACAATATTATGGATACAAGAGTAATGAAGATAGTACTGAAATCTTTCATCCATTTCTTCCAAGCTTCATTTTCAACTATAAATATATGTCTGGCCATTCAATCAACATACATACACAAGATGCCAAACCATACACATAAGTCTTCTGTCTTCTTATAATTCTCAAACAATTCACCTTTTCTCTACGAATCCAATATTCCCTTTTTGTACTACTCCATTATGAGTTTATATAGTGAAAGTTTTCTTGTACTACTCGCCTTTTTAATGGTCCTTGTATTCTCCTATTTTCGTATATTGAATTGAATTATTTTAGTGCTTGTCAATAGTAAGATTTTTTTGATACTTTTCCTACGTAAAATATTGTGTTTCAATTTCTTTACTACTTATATCTATCCCATAATTATTTTCTCATTCTTTACCTCTTCAATCTGTCTTTGATGTGTACACTCATCAAACCTAAATTTTTAAAAAATGCAAGCATGTAGCTAATTGTTGGAGTGAAACATTGATGTAGTTTGATTAAGCAACCCTGCTCAAACAAGCTACACACTAGTAGAAAAATTGAAAAAGGCACCGTTCAATGGCCACCGATTTTTGAAAACCGATGGCTTAATAAATGGGCGAGATGAGGCAAAACCAAATTGCCACCGGTTCAAAGAAACCCGTGGCAATAATGATAAAGGCCACCGGTTTTGAACCGGTGGCAATAATCAGTTAAAAAAAAAACCCCCCCTTATAAACCCCAAACCCTACCTCTTTTACTTCTCATCAGCCGCTCCTCTCTCTCTCCTCTTCCCTCTCCTCTTTCTCTCTCCTGCTCTCACCTCTTTTCTCTGTTCTCATCTCCTTCTCATCCCCTATCTTCGATCTCCTTCTCCTTCTCGTCCCCTATCTTTCTTCGATCTTTTGATCTCCTTCTCGTCTCCTTCTCTTTCATTTCCAAGACCAACACCGCGAAGACATGCACGAGGTTAGGGTTTTAATTCGATTTAATTCTGGGGTTTTTTTTTCCTTTTTTTTGAGTTCGTGAAAATCAATCTGTTTTCAACTCTTTTTGTTTTTTTGAGTTCGATTTAATTCTCAATTTGTTTTTAATTCTCGTTTTGAAAATCAATTCGATTTGTTTTTTTGAGTTCCATTTAATTCTCGTTTTTTCACTGATTTCTGGGATTTTGTTTTTTTTTTTTCTGATTTATTTTTTTTTCTGGGTTTTTATTAAATTTCTGGGTTTTGTTTTAATTTGTGTGTTTTTTCTGGGTTTAAAACTGATTTTAATCGATTTATTTTAATCTATTTTGGGATTTTCTGGGGTGAAATCGATTTGAAGTCGATTTTTTTTTATTTTAATCGATTTGATTTCGATTTAAATTCTGTTTTTTTTTATTGAGTTCTTGGTCATCAATATCTGGGTTTTTTTTTCTGGGTTTTTAACTAATTTGTGGGTTGTTTTTCTGGGTTTGATTTTATTCGATTAAAGGGTACATGCAGATCGTCCTTTTTTTTTGCAGTTTATTTATTTAAATAGATTTATTTTTTTGTTTTAATTGGTGCAGGTATGTTGAATTAATTTAAATCGAAGAATCAAGCCGAAGAATCAAGATGCAAGAATTTTGATTTTGATGTTTAAATTTTTTTTTTGATTTATATTGTAATTTTTTTTATTTATATGTTGTAATTGTTCGTTTTTTTTTTTTTTTTTTTTTTTTTTTTTTGTAGGAAATACTTTCGATTTTATTGATCTATATTGTAATTTATTTTTGATTATATATTATAATTTTTCGACTATATTTATCTATTGTTATACTTTCGATTTTGATGTTCTTATTTTTTTTTTTTTATTGTTCTATTATATTTCTTTAAGAAAAAGGCAAAAAAAAAAATTACATAATGGACATTGCCACCGGTTAACCGGTGGCATATATATTTAATACAAAAAAAATAAATAAAGCGCCAACTGTTTTTGCCACCGGTTAACCGGTGGCAATACTTAATTTTGCCACCGGTTTTAAACCGATGGCTTTTCAACTGAGTATTGCCACCCCCCAAATAATGACCACCGGTTCAAAACCGGTGGTAATGGGGGGTTTTCAACCGGTGGCTGTTAGCAATTTTCGCCTAGTGACACTATTTGTTTTTTCAAATAAAATTCAATCCACTTAAATTATGACGTGGATACAATAAAAACTACATTATCTAATTATTTATTTTTATAAAGTACAATATGTTTGCTCATCATTTTAACATCTTGCGACTAAAAATCACGGAGTATACTAGTTTTGTTGAATAAAGTTTCTTCTTCAAGCTATTTCATATTACACACGCATTGTGCATGATACAGTAATATGCAAGCAAATATTGTGTGTAGGACAGGGACAGAAATTAGTCTCACTGAAACAATGAAACAAACAAAATGCACTTGAACAAAATTAAACTCACATTTGGTTCAGGCTTAAGGTTTCCAAACTTCAAAACAACATAGTTAGTCATCCTCGATGAAGGCGGGATGAAATTATGCTTGTTCAATTCCACCAAGCTCTTCAAGTCCACACTAGAAGGAAGAAAAAAAGCATCAAATTTCAACTACAGATCAAGCAACTAGCATTATTTTAAAAACCCCAATAAACAATGAAAGAATTTTCTAGAATTAATTAATTGGAGCTTAGATTATGTTATGATGTATCTATATATAGCTTAGATATTCCTCTTATACAACTAATTCATTTTGATAATACAATGACAGAAAATTTCCCAAATTCTCTCTAATTTTTTTTTCCTCTTTTCTCTTTGATTTCCTCTATTCTTCGAATATATTGAAGCTGTTTTAAGCTTCAATATAGTATCAGAGCTAGGGGTGTTAAAAAAAACCCGACCCGGTAAATACCCAATGGGAATTTTAGGCGTAAAAGTTGTTTTTTCGCGTCGGGTACCCGACCCGGGAAAATGGCCTTCTATCCGGGTCGGGACATGGGCCGGATTTTATTATTATCGAGTACCCGATTACCCGATAATAAATAAAAGCAAAAAAAAAATAATCACCCTCATTCCCTCAAAGGCCCAGCCCATACTGATTCCACTCTACCAGTTCAGTAGTTCACGCCTTCACGGATTAGGGTTCTAAAAAAAATTCGCCTCTCTCTCTCTCTCTCTTAGATCTGCTTTCCTTAGTCTCCTGTTCACGCGAGTTCAAGGGAGTTTCAGCCTTCAATCTCAGGTAATTTCTATTCTCATGCGAGTTTAATTTCGTTGTAATTTGTGGTAATCCAATTGATAGTGTATTTCGTGCTAGTTGATAATGTATTTCGTGCTAATTGTGCTAATTGTGGAAACAATTTATCGAAATTCGTGGTATTGCGTTTGTTCATGGAAAATTGATTGTTGAATGTTGATATGTGTCTTGAATTTGATATGTACGTGAGGATTTGTCACCACTCACCAGATTAATATGCTGTATAATCGTTATTAACATGTGTGGCCTGAGGATTTGTCTCATTGTCTTTATTTGCTTCTCTTATAATCTTTCTATATGCAGTATATTCCTTGAATATTAACATGTATGGACTGATTGTATAATCTGTAAATTTTTTGATGTATATTAGCATGTATGGACTTATTTGTCTCACAGTATATGTCTTGAATTGATGTATATATGTTTGTTTTACTACTTTGTTATACATAATATATTTGATGTGTAATTATTTTTTCGCATTATTTGGTTTTGTAGGAATTAAAGACTTTGTTTGGAGCAACCAACGATTATTATTGATGAGACAGTTGAAGTTTCGGATCTCACAAGTGAATGAAACACGACCTCCAATCCCATTTTAATTTGCATTGTGGCTTTGTTATATTATTGTACTTTGTAATTTGTATGTTTTTAATTATGTAACTAAAGACTTCCCCTAAACTTTAGCTTTTACTAGTACTTTAATATGTTAAAACAGGTTATAAAAAGTAGGTTTTTACTAAAATGTAGCAGGTACTCAAGGGCTACATTTTACAGAATAGTATTTCTGGAAATACATGCATCTAGCAGAACAGGTTTTACAGGATTTCTAGCAGAACATGTTTTTTTTTTTTTTTTTTTTTTTTTGGTAAATAAATAGTCAGCCACTATAAATCTGGAAATCTGGATTTTTTATAAAAAAAAAAATAATTTAATGCAGCAGGTTTTTTTATTAAAATAAATCAAATTACAGTAGGTATTAATACATAAAATTAAGTAAAAGTTATTAAAAAAAACAAAAAAAAAAACACAAAAAGAGATTCGGGTACCCATGTCCCGACCTGAATAACCCGGGTACCCGAGAAATTCGGGTCGGGACATGGGACAACTTATCAAGTACCCGAAACTCGAGTACCCGGGTTTGAACACCCCTAATCAGAGCACAACGCTTGATTCTTGGTTATTTTCTTTGATTTGTTCTTGAATTCTATTGGAATTTTGATCTTCTTCTACTTTTTAGATTTATCTAGTCTCTGGACGAATTTTTTGGATCAGTTTTGTTTGCTAATCTTCGTTTTACTGGAGATTTTTCTTGTCGATTTCTTCTGAATTGAGCAGTGGTTGCTTTTTATGAGAATTTAGTGAATTCTACTCTGAATGTTGGAATTAATTACAATGATCCATACTATTTGGCCAGTGGTGATAATCCGAGCATGCAACTAGGTAACCAAATTCTTACTGGCTCTAATTACATTAATTGGTGTAGAATTGTTAGAATGGCATTGATTGCTAGGAACAAAATTTGTTTTGTTGATGGAACTCTTATTCCTCCTGATTCTGCTTCTGATGATCATAAAAAATGGCTAAGGAATGACTATATGGTCATGTCATGGATCTTGAATTCTATGGAGAAAACTATTGCTGAGAGTTTTCTATTTGTTAATTCTTCTAATGAATTGTGGTGTGAAATCAAAGAGAGATTTGGTCATACAAATGTTCCTCAAATAGTTGAGTTACATAGAAATTTAGGACATATATAGCAGAATGATGCTAGTAATACTGAGTATTTTGGTAATCCGAAAAAAGATTTGGGATCAGCTACAGATTCTGGAAGGACTTCCATATTGTTCTTGTGGTGTATTGAAGAATTGCAGTTGTGGTTTATTGAAGAAGATCTTTGATATTGAAGAAAGGAGGAAGTTAATGCAGTTTTTTGTCAGGACTTAACATATTGTATGATCAGGTTAAGACAAATCTATTGAGCTCAAATCCTTTAATTTGCTTAATGTGAATAAGGCATACTATACTCTACAGCAAGTCGAACAGCAACATAAGTTGACTACTATTGCTTATACTTTTGAGCCTAATGCTTTGAATGCTACGAGAGGTGTCTGTGATCATTGTAAGAGGACAGGTCATACTAAGGATCGGTGTTTCACGTTGATTGGTTATCTAGAGTGGTGGACTAACAAACCTAAGGGTAGATTTGCTCCAAAAGTTGCTGCACAAGTTAATCAGGTTTCTGGTATTTTGGGATCTGCTCTTGCTGAATCAAGTCAGTCTAATGCTATTGCTTGCCATGTGTAACATTTGATTGGTTTATATTTATATTTATTTTATATTTTTTTTAACAACCCTTTATTTTCCCTTTCTCGTTGTTTTTCCTTCTTCTCGACCCCACGCAATTTAAACCACCACCCATGCCGGAGAAGTCTGCTCCCATTCCTTGTCGGAGAAGCCATATCCCCTTCCCCATTGAAGCTAGCCACCCTTTTCCCCGGGTTTTAGGGTGGATGGAATGGTCAGGTTTAGGGGTTTCGTGGGTGGCTGGGGTTAAATAGGATGGTTGGATTCAAGGGTCTTATGGTGGTTGAGTGTAGGGGTTTTGGGGTGGCCGAGGTTGAAAAGGGTGGTTAAATTTAGGGGTGGTTGGTGTGGTCGGGATCATTAGGGGTGGGGGCACTAGTAGAAAAAAGCAATTAGCCACCGGTTTAAAACCCCTCTATGCCACCGGTTTTGAACCGGTGGTCATTTGGGGGGTGGCAATAATCTGATGCAAAAGCCACCAGTTCAAAACCGGTGGCAAAAACAAGTATTGCCACCGGTTACAGTTGGCGGATTTTTTTTTTTTTTGGGTATTAAACATTTTTGCCACCGGTTAACCGGTGGCAATAACAGCTACATAATTTTATTTTTTTTCCTTTTTCTTTTCTGCTGCAATTATAATACTAATACTATAATATAAAAACAATCAATGTAAGGCAAACAACATCACATGAGCGCAAAAGAATTGTTATTGTAAATTGTTATTGTAAAATACTAAAAAAAATTAAAAAAATTACATTGAATTATAATCAAACAATGAAATTCAGCTTTAAATTATTGTACAATAAAAAATAATAAATAAAAAAAATACGTCTAAAACAATTTTTCAAAATCAAAGTCTTGAATCTTGTTGCATGTCTTGAATCTTGATGCATCAATTAAGACCTGCATAAATTAAACCCAGAATTAATAAAACTTACCAAAAAATGCGAAAAAAAAAACAGTACCCAAAAAATTCACGAATTCTAAATTATAAAAAAAAAAAAAAAATTCGCGAACCCAAATATTTCACAAACCCAGAATAGTTCACGAAATCATGCATACACCTAGACAAAAAACGATCCAAATATTTTGAAAATCAATTAACCCCAAAAATTTAGAAAATCAATTAAACCCAGAAAAATTTCGAAATCACTTAAACTCAGAAAAATTTCGAAAATCAATTAACTACAAAAAAATTTCGAAATAAATTAAATTTTAAAACCCAGAAAATCAATTTCGAACTCCACCATAAATAACAAAACCCACTCACCTTAAATCACCGTAACCACAACCACCACCACAACCCACGAATTCCACCAAAAAAAAACAAAAAACAAAATAAAAGTAAGAAAAAAGAGAAATTACCTCGAATTTCACCAAAAATCCCCCGAAATTATCTAGAATTTGGGTTATAAAGGTCAAATTCGACCATGAAAACTCTAGATCTAGAGTTTTCATGGTCGAATTTGACCAGAAAACCTTAGGCGGCGAAAGTAACTGGCGGCGGCGGCAGTTTTCAAAAGAGGTGAAGAGGAGGGAGGAGGCGAGGAAGATAAGAGAAGAAGAGCAGAGGGGATGAGGGGACGAGAGAAAAAAGAATGAAGGTGGACTGAGCTGAGAACAAAGATGAGAAAATGGGTATGGAGGAGCTGTGAGGAGTGAGGAGAGATAAGTTCAGAAAGAAAAGGGGAGGAGAGAGAAGATGAGGGGGCTGGGTTTGGTAAAAAGGTTTAATATATAGGAAGGAACAAAAGGGGTGGGTTTTAGAAAAGGCCGGGTTTTTTTTTTTTTAACAAAGCCACCGGTTTGAACCGGTGGGATTAATATTTTTGCCACCGGTTTGAACCGGTGGGATTAATATTTTTCCCACCGGTTTGAACCGAACCGGTGGCAATACTAATCCCTCAAAATCCCGCCCATTTCTTCCCCTATCTTTGCCACCGGTTTTTGAAAACCGGTGGCCATTGAGCGGTGCCTTTTTGCTTTTTTCTACTAGTGAGGGTTTCGGGTAGGGGTAGTTAAGTTGGCAAAGGGTAAGACTGATGGCTGCTAAAGGTTGCATCTTTTACGACAGGGTTAGGGCTGGAATGATGGTGACCATGGAAAAGGGTGGTGGTCTGGTGTCAGTCCTTCATTAACAGGAGCTTGTAGCTTTCCCTTGCCTGTGATAGTTAGGCGGTGATAGTTATGAAAGGCTGGTGGTAGTTATGGTGAGTTGTCATGGAAGAGGATAATGAAGTGTGAGGAGATAGATTAAGGAAAACAAATTAAAAAATATAGGTAAAAAGAAATGTTTTGAACAGGTCAAATGTTGGATTGTTTCCATATTTCAAAAGGTAAGATTGTTTTGAGCAGAAATGTCAAATGTTTGATTAATGGTTTTTATTTTTTCTAAATAAAAATTAATATAAATTTTAGTAATCTCTTATGGTAAGTAAGAAATAAAGTAATAAAAAGTTAAAAACACATAAACAAATTATACTATTTTACAGACATTTTTTATTTTTTTTGAAAGCACTTTTTACTGTATTATAATTCTAATGTAATATAACCACAAAATCAGGGGTCGTGTGACTCATTAGGGAAATGTAATTTCCAATAAAATTTCAATTTGTGGGAAATAAATTTCATTAGCATCAAAATTATGGGAATTCAACAAATTGGTTTGGTTAAGAATAGAGAAAGTGAATTCCCATGGGAATTTCAACTTACCAAGGGGGTAATGTAAGTGAATTTTCATGTTTCGTGGGAGTCAAAATTCTCTTGAACTTTCATTGCCCTCATTTTTCACTTTTTTTGTGTCAACCAAACAAGAAGGTGTAAACGAAATTTATGAAAATTTTGACTGTCCACAAAATATTTAGCCAACCAAATAAGGCTCGTCAATCTACTTAAACATTCATTGTATGAGAAAATAAAAAAACTCCTAAATTAGAAGGCAAACTCAAGTACTTAATTGATTGTATATATATAAAAAAAGTACTCATGATTTGTTCTCTTCAACTTTTTACGAGAAAATACAAGTTTATCAATATGATAAACAAAATTTGTTTATCAAATGACAAAATTGTAAATAAATCAACAACATTTTAGTAAATATTTTTTTTTGAAAGCACTTTTTAGTAAATATGGGTCCCACTGTTGTTAATACATTTACGAAAATGCCATGATGACTGGACATTTATGTTGTTTTATTTACCATTTTGGCCATTTGATAAACAAATTTTGTTTATCATATTGATTAACTGGGACTTCCTCTACTTATTACCTATTCCTTAATAAATTGATTAGATTAGAAAGATTCAAACCAGATCAGATTATAACTTTTTATTATCAATACTCATTGTTAAATATTGTTAATTGCGAATTAAAATTTTCATAAAAATTACATATTTAAAAAGTGCATGATGAGACGAATCTAACAAATCCATTTTGATACAGAGTAATGTTTTTCCTGTATAAATTAGTACTCCATCCGTTTCACTTTGTTAGTACCATATAGAATCAATCACAAAAAAATAAGAGAATGAATAAATTTAGAATCTTACATTTTAGTACAAAAATTGCTTAATTAATTTTATCTTATTAAATGTTCTGTTTTTTTCTTTGGAAAACATCAATTACAATGCCTTTTTAACGTGAGTAATAACAATTAAATGCCATGTCATCAATCCACTAATGGGATTGATGACCAATCATAATATTTAATTATTACCATGTCATCAATCGACTAATGGGATTAGAAATTATAAGACCAAATTAGGAAAATAAAATAAAATTAAAAAAGGAATAGATTCAATATGGGTAGATCATTTTGAAACACCTAAAATATAATATATGAGACTAACATTATAAAACGGAGGGAGTATTAAAATATACTCAAAATCTAGTTGAATGAGGTCACACCAAACCAGATAAAAAAAAATGGGTTTTGCTATACATAGCCCTAAGGGCCATGCATAAGAATCAACAATTTCATATCATTAACTCTATTTTTCTTGTTCCAATGGAATCTTATAGTATTATTAATTTAAGTTATTATTAATTTAATGTAATATTGTTTATGGGATAAGTTATTATCAAAATGCATTTATTAACCCATTAAAGCTATTTTTTTTTCCTTTCAGGATTAAACTTTTGTATTTTATTTAGTTAGTTAAGCATTAACAATCTAACATCATACCAATAGAAAATTATATTATATATACTGTAAAAAAGAAAAAAATTTAGTAGTATTAAAATCCAAAATAAACACCGTACAAGTCAATCTTTTACCCACATTCTTCCAAGAAACAACATATAGCAACCAAACCATCTACTCCGTATTAGATAATACTAAGTGGACAATACTGCAATATATTAGTGTGCTGCTAAGATATTTAATTTTTTTTTAAAAAAATTGTTTATACGCCTGATTTGGTTTATTAGAAGATAAACTTAGTTATTATCATCCTTTTCAAGCTTTTAATTTGTTTTAACGTACTCCCATCCAACAAAACTATGGAGTACTATTCCCATGCCTAGCCAATCTTCATTGGTTCAAAATATTTCATTCATACATATCAAATAAAGGTATTTTACTAGAAGTGCCACATACGACCTCGCATATCTTCGGCACCCAAACAACCAGTTGAATCCATCTTAGGATAGATTGGACTAGAGAGAGGATGATGATATTGAACTTTTTTTTTTTTTTTGGAAAAAACATTTTCATGGTATTTAATTGTGTAGGTAAGAAAACTAGAAAAATATTAGTTACATTTTTGGGATGGATTAATTTTGGATTAATAATACTATAAGATTCCATTGGAACAAGAAAAATAGAATTAAAGATATGAAATTGTTGATTCTTATACATAGCCCTATGTATAGCAAAACCCAAAAAAAAATTCAGATCAGAAGAGTAAAAAATTCAGTGTTTCAGGGGAAGAGATTCTAGACTAAAACCAATAAACCATCCATATTTAGCAAGAACCACCACGTGCCCCTGGCCCACATCCCTAATATATTCCAAACCTACAATCCACAACTCACACAATCGCTAAAACCAACCGTCAGATCAAACTAATCCACGACCCAAAAAGCTTCATAACACTCGACACGGATCGCCAACAAAAACCGTCCGATACAATCCAATCCAACAGTCTCAAATCAACGCGCAAAAACTCCCTCCAAAACCAAATCTCAAATTTTCCAACTCACCCACCACTATATAAACCCCCTTTTCCCACTTCATTTCTCACCACATTCACATCCAAAACCAAATCTCAAAAATCCTCAAAATTCTCAGAGAGAGAAAATGTCAGGAAGAGGAAAGGGAGGAAAGGGGCTCGGAAAGGGAGGTGCCAAGAGGCACAGGAAGGTGCTGAGAGACAACATTCAGGGTATCACTAAGCCCGCCATTCGTCGTCTTGCTCGTCGAGGCGGTGTTAAGAGGATCAGCGGCCTCATCTATGAAGAGACTCGCGGTGTTTTGAAGATATTTTTGGAGAATGTCATCAGAGATGCTGTTACTTACACCGAGCACGCTCGCCGTAAGACGGTCACTGCTATGGATGTTGTCTATGCTCTTAAGAGGCAGGGCCGCACTCTTTACGGTTTTGGTGGTTAGGTTGTTTTTACTGTTTTTAGGGTTTATGTGGGTTATTTAGTGGTAGTATTATTATTGAAAGTATTTTGTGATTAGGGGTTTTTAAATTGAGATTTGTGGATCTCTGTTATGTAATATTCTGAAAGTATTGTTATATGAAATGAAATTAGTTACTCTTTAATGTGATATTCTTCTCTGGTTTTCTATTGGATTTATGGTGTTTAATTTTTTGAATTGGTGATTGAATAAGTACATTTGGGTTTTGTACTAACTTTAGGGTTAATAGATTATGTATTTGATAAAGCATTTGGGTGTTTTTAATCAATCAATTCGGATTATGACCTATTGACTGTAGAACTGTTTGGGATAAACTTGCTTCATTGTTAGTAATGACTTTAGAAAACAGAGTTGAAGTTCAAAGAAATAAAAAGTAAATTATCAATTTGTTCTAGTTTTAGTAATCAGATAGCCTGAGTTCTTGATTTGGCTAATTTACAGCTTATTTAGGATGTTTTATGCTAATGAGTTTAATCAGACAAGCAAAATAAATTACGAATTACTCTGTATTGTTAAGCTGGAAGATGATAATGTACTTACATTCCCATTTTCATTCATATTTGTACAAGTTTCTCAAAAGCAAAATACGATTTTGAGTTATGGACCTGATCTATAGATGAGTTGTCAGTCGACACAAGTTTAGTGTGTTTAAACTGTTAATGGCCTTGTTTCAACCATTAATTCTATGGAAAAAGGATTTGCAGTGTAATTAACCATAATTGCGTAGTTAAAGATATTTACTTTGATGCAATATCTCCTCATCATCAACAATTGAAGAGTGACTCAATTCAATTTACCAATTCTGATTTCCATACTTCTTTGTGCTTGAATAGAGACCTTACAGAACTTAACAAAAGAAGCCTATGAAAGATTAAATGTCGATCAGGCAGAGAAGAAAGGTGCTTTTTCTAATGCATTTGAGGATGAGTACTAATTGATTCAATGAACACATTTCAGAAATCAGAAATACAACATTATTCTGCAGGCACAAACTTGAGTTTGTTGCCAGTATGATAGATTTCAGAAGTGCAATATGAGTATATTCTACCAAGTACATTGAAAGTCGGATGACTACTCGGATCTATGCGCAGCCCAAATGCACATTGCAGATAGAATTTCAATAGTCATGTTGGTTCTCTCACATTGAGTCATAAATCAACAATTCCACTGTCTTGGACAACTCTGAATTACACAGAAAATACTGCAGGTCAGAGTCACAAGTGATTAACACAAGATCATCATCTTCGTCATGATACTTGATCTTAAAACTACTTGAGTCCAGATTTAGTCTCCTGCCCACTTCTTCCGTCAGCTGAGTGAAACCGGATGTTGATGATAAGTCAAATATAATAACATCTTCCTTATAAAAGACCTTCACTGTGAAGATGACACAAGTTCCATCTATTATTGCAGTTGACAGACAATGATTCAAGGCCTGCAGTAACTCAGGATTCTGCTCATGACCAACTGGATTAGCAGTGGTGCTCGAATTCATCTGCGCATATTCACTTGTAGAAGCAGATCCAGAGTTGCTTTTGACATTCCTGGCATTCCTTCTTGTGCTTGATGGCCAGCAATCAATATTAAACTTTCTGCATTTGCGCTTCAATGTGGACCTGCTAACTGAAATGTAAAATGTAAACTTGTTACAAAAGAGCAACTAAATTCTTAGTAAACTAGTAATGCAACAAAACTACTACCTAAAGCACAAAAAAATTAAAGCCAAAAAAAATGTTAAATGCCTACAGGCCACAGCCACAGTCCAATAATAATTCCTCAAATGCTTGAATTGTAGTAATGATGACCAAGATGAGTAAAATAGCTAGTTGTCTACGACTCTAGGCAACACTAACTGTAGTAAAAGCAAAGTTTGCTTCAAATTTTTGTTCCTTCTGAACTGTAAAGATCAAAATACCTCAGTTCTTTTGCTGCATCTACTAGCTTCAGCGAAAACAGTGAACAATATCCTTAATGCTTACAGTATATCTTTCTCAGCTTTTGCATTTGCATGTCTAGTCATTTTTATCTGTTTGAATTCTAAAGGAGGGAGATTTTTATCACCAACAAGTTTTATTTCATCATTTGAAGAACATGTTTCAGATGTTAGCTGTCCGTCTAGAGTTTCCGTACCAACAGGAACTGGGACAGGATGTTGAGTTAGGGAATTCAAGCTGATTGCTTCATCATTAACTTGGAAATATTTATTCACATGCTTGAGCTTTGCAACAGAGCTATTATCCTTAATGATGTTGCTAGATAGAGGTCTAGTCAACAAATTGGATTCAACTTGTAGGTCCAGATAGATTCCCATTCAACGAATTCTATATGTTTCCTTTCCTCTTCCAGTATCCTCCCAGAAGCAACCATCAAATTCTGGAGATCCTGCTTCATTGTTGTCAATTTGGAGTCTACCAATCTGATCAGCACTTTCACTTAAGCCAAGACGAAGAATGAACTCAGGAATATAATCATCATCTGCTGTATGTTTGCTCCTTAATCAGATGGGAAAGCTGCCAGTTAACCCAAACATACAAGCATAGTGCACCAATGGATATTCAAATTTAAAGAATTGTGAAATATCTCTGCAAAAATTCAAACCACGGGATGAAAAGGACCTTCAGCAACACCCTGGGCCCTTTCTGAAGATGATGCTCAGCACGGGCTTCTTGAATGTTCCAAGGATTAACCTTTTTATACGAGGGCCAAGTCCATGCATTACAGGGCTTGTATGTTTCCTTGCTACATTGCATGCACCATCTACACCAAACTCCCTAATGAACTCCCCATCAATTCATCACTACCTCAATGTGAGAGCAATAACAGCTCAGTATCTATCCAGAAGTACGCAGCATCTAGGGAGGTCTAGATACATAGCATTACTAAAGAGCAGTTGAAAGCCCTCAATGGTACAGTTGATATAGAAGCAACATGTACAACCATAACATTCTTAACAGTTCTCTATTGACCTCTCCCCACCACCCCCCAACAGGAAGAATTGTTTTACTACATATTTACATCATCCCATCAAACATGGTATACAACAAATTAACAATATTAAGGCCCACAAGTTGTATTAGCTTGATGCCAGATAGTCAATGACAAACTCAAAATCACAACAAGATCAGAACATGGGGTATGGAGCTAATAAAAGGGGGTGTAAGAGACTAGACATCTCTCCTTTGTAAATGAAGATAAACCAACCTTAAGAACTTAACAGATTTTATCAACTTCAGGAGCATAGTTGATCTTCTGGGAAGTCATTATGAGCTCCAACATACCAACACAGGACTTCCCTGAAGGATCGAAGACAGGCAAAGCCATGGTTCCTCTGATGTTATAATGCTTCGCATGATTGACTTTAAGGAACTCTTTGCAGGTGCAATACTGAAAATTGGTGGTCCAATCTGACATTTTTTTTGTCTAAACACGCCCAAGAGGTAACCCGAGAGTGGTTACACTCTAGCCATCAGTAGGGAACACAAACATCAAAGAAACACTCCTTTAATGATGCAACCCATTACTATACCTCCCTAGAACAAAGGGCTGCCCTAAAGTTGTCAACACATAATGGTTCCAACTCTTTACAGATGCCCAAAACTGAGCTAAAATCTGGTTTTGTTCAATTGAACCTTAGCGCCTGTTTCATCCTCTCTTTGATGATAGATGATACATCATAAACCGAGTTGAAAGCATGATTTTATGATGATCATCCTCAATGTTTTGACTCATAATTAGTGATTTCAAGTCATAAATGATGCAGCAGCAAGCAGATAGTAACACTAGCCAAAAGCCTAATAACTTCATCGGAATATATATATATATATATTCCTTTAACTTTCCTGAACTTATTCATACTTACTACTACTAGTATTTGCTAAGTTGCTAGTCAGCTAGTGTAAAGCACTAAAGCTTCTGTGATCTTCAAATTTTACTGACTTTTGAACTATTCAATAAAAGCCATGCACTCATGCTATAATGCTAACGCTAATATATAAGGTACTCATGGTACAAATTAGAAAAAAAAAAAAAAACCCACATTCAATAAAAGTCATGCACTCATGCTAATGCTAATTTACTCCGTTCTTTATTTATTGCAAATTTGTAACAATTGGAGTTTTACACTTCCAAACCCATGGTACAAATTAGACAAAACCCCACATTCACAATCATCCTTGTTTTAATTAGCTTTTATATCTCTTTTAACCAAAAGCTATGTTCCTACTTTCAAGTGCATCAGTAGCAAATAATTCTATCAAACCAAATTAAAATTACACAATTAACAAGCATTACATTTACATAAGCAGAATTATGCAGATAGAAATATACCTGAATTTGCATCCGAATCCAAATCCGAAGCATAGTCGTCATGATAAGAGGAATTAGATGAAGGAGAGTGGCAAAAAGGCAAAGTTAACAGAGTAGGAATGAGCTGAGCTTCAGGTGAGGGATACTCAAATTCCAGAAATACCCTTTCTTCATCTTCTTCTTCTTTTTCTCTCTCCTCTTTCCTCCTCCATAATCCCTGGTTTTGGGGTTGAGCTTCCATTCAGAAAAGTAATTAGTGGAAGTACTAGTATGAGTTATGAAAGCCCTCCTTTTCAAATCCATTCTTTTCTGCATGTTCTGTTTGGATTTTATAATTGGAGGTAAAGGGATTATAAAATTTGTAATGACTTGAGTAGTTGTTGTTGAATTTAGAAGAGTGATGAAAGATTAAAAATGGGTATTTGATGAATTGAAGAGGCAAAAGACAAGAGTTTTATGAGGTTTCCAGTGGCCAGTTCACTTTTTATCCAGGAAAAGGGTCGGATACTTGAATTGCATAACATGTTTTAAAAATTACACTGTAAATGAAGATAATACATTGGAAAAATAGAATCTAAAAATCCAACCTTTGGCCGGTCTGACAATAAAAATTCAATCTTTCATTAATCTCAAAAAAAAATCCAACCTTTGCACCCCACCTTCTTTGACAGGTTCAAAAAAAAATTATTTTTAATTTCCTTCACTCCTCTTCTTTCTCTCTCCTCTCTACACCACCACCACTTCTGCCACCACCTTAGCACCACGAAACCACCCAACACCACCACCACCTATCACCACCACCTCCTATCACCACGAAACCATCCAACACCACCATCTAGCACCACGAAACCACCCAACACCACCACCTAGTACCACGACACCACCCACCACTACAACCCACAACCCCAACTCAAATTAAACCCACAACCCCAACTCAAATTAAACCCACAACCCAAACTCAAACCCACAACCCCGAACTCAAACCCAGAACCCACAACCCCGAAATCGAACCCACAACCCCAAAAACGGATCAGGGGTATTAGATAACCGGGGTCGGGTTTAGGGTGGGGAGGGGAGTGGTGGAAACAGGTCGGGCTTAGGGTGGTTAGGGTTTAGATCGTAGGTGGGTTTGGTGGTTGGGGAGGTTGCGGCAAGGGGTGGGGTGGGGGGAGATCGCCAAAATCCGGCGACCCCGATGGTGGGGCTGGTTGGGGTGGGGGGAAATAGCAGGGGAGTGGGGGAGGTGGCTGGTGGTTTGTTTGTTTTTGTTTTGTTTATTTTTTTTTTCTGTTTTAATTTTTTTTTTTTTTTGTTTTTTAATGATTAAAAAAATTATTGACCAATTAACGACTGACACGTGACATATAACTTACAAAAAACGGTCATCAACAGGTAATGGATCTGTTGGAGAAGGAGAGGGGCAAAGGTTGGATTTTTCTGAGATTACTGAAAGGTTGGATTTTTATTGTCAAATCGGCCAAAGGTTAGATTTTTAGATTCCATTTTTCCTAATACATTAATACGGAATACTTTGAGTTTTTACATATCCGTAGTGAGGGACAATTTTTTTGAAAATTGCTACTCCTTCCGTGTTTTTTTTTAAATGTTATAGTTTGACCGCCACATAGTTTTAGGCACTTTAGTTGACTTAAATAAATTATGAGGTTAGTGGGGTAGTTGGAGTATTAAAAATTTGTAAAAGAAAGATAGTGGGGTTAATAGTTTATTGAAAAGTAATGAATGCGAGAGAAAAAATATAACAAAAAAGTACTAGTGGATTTAAGTGGAGACCATGAGAAGAGAGATATAATATCTTAATGTAACTTTTTTTGCCAAAAAAATGAAGTGTAACACTTAAAAAAACACGGTCGGAAATGAAAAGTGTAACACTTAATAAACATATGGAGGGAGTAAAACTATTTTTGAACATATTATTTTTTTAATAAAAAGAAAAAAAAGTCCTATAGAGTTTTGAATAGTTGTTTTTTTTTTTTTTGGTGTTTAGAGAGCGGCGGGGTGAGAATCGATCCAAAGATCTCTTGGAATTGGGAGGGAAGCTCTAACCACTTGAGTTATCCCTCACTCTCATAGAGTTTTGAATAGTGGTACTACCTATAAACACGCAACTTAAAGTGGTGGTTTAAATAGCCTTAAGCACACTACTCCATACTATGATCTTATATTTTGTACAAGACCTCACAATCATATATGGGTTGGATAGATGCATCATTTTGTATATAAGTTCTCCCTCGAAAGATAGGGCTGCCTCCTTCGAAAGAAAAGACGACCTCCGTCGCGAACGATTTTGCTCCGGCCATGGTCGACGAATTGGCGAAGCAATACTCTGCGTTGAATCTAGAGGATGACGAGAATGATTTAGTGAATTTAGAGGGCACTGAGGATACCGAAACAAAGGAGAAATTGGCTTTGATGTTGGTAGGGAAATTGTTAACAAAAAGACCCTATAATGTAGAGGCTTTCAAGCGCACGATGTTGAAAGTTTGGGCGCCGGCAAACAATATGCTAATTAGGGTGATAGGACCGAACCTTTATGCATTTCAATTCTTTCATTGGAAGGACAAAGAGAAGGTCTTAAAGGGTCAACCTTGGTGCTGGGAGAATAATCTTCTAGTTCTCAAGGAAGTTAAAGGGGATGAACAACCGGAGAAAGTCTGCCTTGATTTCTCTTCGTTTTGGGTTAGGGTCTGTAAACTTCCCTTTAATTGTAGATCGAATGATGATATTGCTGCCCTAACTCTGAATTTGGGAGAATTGTTGGAAATTGAGGATGATACCCTTGGATTGGATCGTTATAGACGAGTAAGGGTGCTAATTGATGTTCGTAGACCCATTCGCCGTTATCAATGGATGAAGGACAAAAGTGGGAATAAGGTGAAGGTTGAATTCAAGTACGAGCGACTGCCTTATTTTTGTTTTGCTTGTGGAGTGATGGGACATTCAGAAAAGGATTGTGACACTGTCTCGGAGGATGAAAAACAGAGCAAGATGGGCTGGGGAATGTTTTTGAGAGCTTCTCCTCGAAGGGGTTTTACAAAAGAATCTGAGGAAGTGGCGCAAATAACATCTTCAAGGAGACAACTTTTTGTGACGAAGAAGAAAGATCCAGAACCTGTATTACTCAATGCTACGACATCTCTAGAAGAGGGCACTTTAGCGTGTGTTGAAAAATGATGCAGGGAGACCTCTGGAGAATGGTGGAGAAGAGGTGGGGATGATTAAATCTCCCACTGCAGTGTGTAGGGCGAGTGAGAACAATGCAGGGGCTACAAAACACATCGTGACTGATGGAAGCAATGGAGGGGAGACCAATTATCAAGCCCCTTTTGTCTTTGGTGCCCTTTCGAGCAGTGGACCTGTGAAGTCTTGGAAAAGAATTAATAGGCCCTTGTGTGCTGAGAAGATGGAGGTGGATGGTGAGCAGGTTGGTGTGGAGAGGGGAGGTAAAAAGCGAACTACTGATCATAATGAGCGGTGTGTAGAAGGGACTGATGAGAGGGGTGAGAAAAGGTATAAGCAAGACTCTCATGCCCTACTAGATTCCACTTCAACGACGGAGGTTGGTGTGAACCAACCTCGTCAAGCATTATGAGTCTTCTATGTTGGAACTGCCGAGGTTTGGGCAACCTCGAGACAGTTCGTCGACTCCGAAAATGGAGTAATAAGATTGCCCCTGATCTCGTTTTTATCTCGGAGACGATGATTAGTAAGGAAGCGGCGGAGAATGTTAAAAACAGAATTGGTTTTTCCAATGCATTTGGGGTGGCAAGTCGAGGTAAAGCTGGTGGATTGTGTGTCTTTTGGAACGAGGATGTGTGTTCTTTTAATTTGAAATCTTTTTCGCAACACCACATTTGTGGCGATGTAAAGAGGGATGGAGAGGAATGGCGCTTTGTAGGAATCTATGGGTGGACGGAGTCCGAAAATAAGCATTGTACTTGGCGACTTATTGAGCACTTGTGTGAGGAGACTACGGGTCCTATCATTTTTGGTGGTGACTTTAATGAGCTCCTTTCACACGAAGAGAGGGAGGGTGGATCAGTTCGTGAAAGAGGAGAAATTGCAAAATTCAGAGAGACTGTGGATACATGTGAGTTACGAGATCTTGGCTTTGAGGGACAATGGTGGACATGGGAGAAAGGCAAAACGTTGCAAACTTTAGTTCGTGAGAGGCTAGACCGGTTTTTGGCCTCTTCTTCTTGGCTGCAAATTTATCCTCATGCTCGAGTAGAACATTTATTACGTTACAGATCTGATCATACACCCATTGTAGTTCGAACTGAAAAACAGGATGTCCAAAAGAGGCGCAAGCAAAAGAAGAAGTTCAAGTTCGAAACGGCTTGGCTTTTAGATGGATCTTGTGAGGAGTTGGTGCGAAAATCCTGGGCTGAGACTGCAATGGATGTAACGAGTAAATTAGGAGCTCTTGGTCGTGCTTTAATGGCATGGAGCAAGGAAAAATTTGACAATTTGGGGGGAAAAATCGAGGAGCTGGAGCAGCAATTAAAGGAAGTTCAGCAGCTAGGGGTATCTCATAGAACTTGTGAGAAGAGTTTGGAGTTAGAGGCAAAGCTTGATGATTTACACTCAAAGCACGAAGCCTACTGGTTTTTGAGATCAAGGGTAATTGAGGTACGAGATGGGGATCGCAACACTTCCTATTTTCATCATAAAGCTTCTCAAAGGAAGTCCCGAAATCGAATAAAAGGCCTTCATGATGCTAATGGTATATGGCAGACAGATGCGAAGAAACTGGAGGGTGTAGTAAGTGCGTACTACTCGGATTTGTTCACTTCAAATGAACCGAGTAATTCTGACATGTAGGAAGTCCTCAAGCATGTGAAGTCAGTTATATCGAAGGAAAACAATGCTGATTTGCTTCGTCCGTATTCCAAGGAGGAAGTATTCTCGGCACTACAGCAAATGCACCCGTGTAAGGCACCGGGGCCGGATGGTATGCATGCAATTTTTTATCAGAAATTCTGGCATATTGTTGGTGATGATGTGACTAAATTTGTGAGAAATATTTTACAAGGTTCTTTATCCCCTAGACTTGTCAATAATACGAATATTGCTTTAATTCCGAAAGTGAAATCACCGAGTAATATGACTGAATTTCGGCCTATTAGTCTTTGCAATGTGTTGTACAAACTTGTTTCGAAGGTTATTGTTCTCAGATTGCAAAATATTCTCCCTGATGTGGTTACGGAGAATCAGAGCGCTTTTGTCCCGGGTCGTTTGATTACTGATAATTCCCTCGTAGCACTAGAGTTGTTCCACTCAATGAAGAAAAGAAGTGGGGGTCGCAGGGGTACCATTGCTTTGAAATTGGACATGAGCAAGGCTTATGACCGAGTAGAATGGGGATTTTTGAAAAAATTACTTCTCACTATGGGCTTTGATGGCCGATGGGTGAATCTAGTTATGGACTGTGTGACGACTGTGTCCTACTCTTTCATTGTTAATGGGAGAGTGTGTGGGGAAGTGATCCCTTCTAGGGGTCTCAGGCAAGGGGACCCTCTATCCCCGTATTTATTTATTTTGGTAGCTGATGCTTTTTCTCACATGCTAAGAAATAAAGTGCAGGATAAGGAGATTCATGGAGCAAAGGCAAGCAGAAGTGGTCGGGTTATTTCTCACCTCTTGTTCGCGGATGATAGTTTATTATTTGCTAGAGCCAACCGAAGAGAATGCGAAGTTATAGTTGATTTACTCAACAGATATGAAGTAGCATCAGGGCAAAAA